ATTAAAATTGACCAATTTGATAAAAGTATTATATATTGTCAATCTATAAAAATTAAACCGCCAGGCTCTGTGCTTCCAATAACACTATGTACTGGGGCTGAACTTGAATTGTATCGTTAACAAACAAACTAAACAATTGAACGATTGAACGATTCACTAAAAAGTAAGTCATGGGGTTTGAACCCCCCCCCCTCCCATCGGCCATATTTTTTTTCACTTTCATATGAGAATTACTTTTTTTCTTATGTTATTCGGTAACTTACGAGTTAATTAATTTTATTGCCACGTTAAGTTAATTTTTTTTTTTCAATTTTGTAAAAATTAATTTTATAAAAAGAGAATCCGAAATATTAAATATATTAATTAGTAAATAATAATTATTATGTTGCATATTCACATAAAATATTATATAACTATATTATAGACTGAAATGTTATAAGGGTTACTGTTAATATTACCTTCTTACAATATTGTATCGTACCTATATTGTTTGAAATTTTAAATAAAAATATGGATAACTATTAACTATTAACTTAGCTAATAGTAATAGTGACACATCTCATTCAAAATGGAGTCATTTAAATAAATGTTTTAAAGAAACGTGGCAAGCTGCGAAAACAGGTAAAGCCGCGGTAAAGAGAATAGATGGAGATCATGGACTGAAACTTGAAAGTATTGTGTTTTGAAATGTTTGGTAAATTATTATGGTTTTATAATGATTATTAAAGTATGAATGTTGAAAAAGCTTAGTTTTTGGTTGCATTATTTTACTTTTGGTATTCATATGATATACCAAATACAACTCACTAGGTACTGTCTACTAAAATGGTAAAATAACACAACATTTGTAAATATTATGAGTATGGGAATTCAAGTAAATTTTCAGAACCCCACCATAGAAAATTCCTGAGAACGCCACTGACCCAGGGGTAGGGTGGTTCTAGGGTCACAAACTAATGAACAGGTTCATGATGTTTATATGATATTTTATTTATTATATTATATTTATAATTATATTTAAACATATTACAGAATTGTAAGTAAAAAAATGAACTTTGAAGTAATAATTAGTAACCTGAGAACCGAATGTCCTACAACTAATGAAAATATGCCGGGGACCAAACGTCCTATGACTAATAAGTAATAACTCTCCGGGACGAAATGTCCTATCTCAATAACTCTCCGGGACGAAATGTCCTATCTCAATAATTGCCGGGGACGAAACGTCCCCGTGCACTGGTTTTTTCGACGGGGGGTGAAACGTCCGTGATTCCTGTGATATACCTCCACGCAGCCTGATGATAACAATTCGGGCCTAAATACAAGCCGTGGACCCACCCAAATGTGGATCACACTGAAGACGATAATATGGAACTAATGAACTATGGAAGGAACCTTACCGCATTTGGAGTTAAAATCCAATAAAGGATGTCCTCCGTCAACAAAAGTACATTCTGAGCGAGAAGGAAGAGGAAAAGTCACGAACACGCTCGTAAAGGAGCGCGTAAACTGGACTAGAGACGGTTAGTGGCAGTGGCGGGGCTTTGAACACCGGTCGTCTTAAGACAATGGAATAAGGGCGGGCGGTATTCAAATTAAAATATTTGACTTTGTCCTCGACTTGCAACTTAGGACTTGATATTAAAATGTTTGTTGAAGATATTACATGTTTACGTCTGTAAGTGTATTGTCTATGCGGTCGTACATAAAATGGCAAAATATTGAATTTATATCTGAATCGTACGCGTAATAAAATATCAGTAACAAAAACTATAAATAAATATAAAACTCGGTTCAATATTTAAAATAATTCAATATTAGTGTATTAAATTATACACCTACTGAAAATACAAGACTATTTATAATATTTTACTCGTAGCAGTCGTAGGGATTTTGATACCGTTTTTCAAATTTTCCGTAATTCTTTAAAATTTTTAAATTCTATTTTATATAGAATGTCCCATAAAGTGCGCACTTTATGGGACACCCTATATTTAATTGCCACCTTAGTCACCTATAACACTTTTCCACTGATCTACCTATCACTACGGTGTATTATATCGACAAAAAATGCCTTCACTGGAATAATTCTCAGGCCTTGTAGAATTGTCAGATTTTGATGACTTCCTATGAGCCGCATTGAACTCCGATGTTTTATTTCATTTCAAATAATGGAATAAAATATAATATAAAATATAATTTGTAAAAAAACCCTCAAAATTGTATTATTTTGGAGGACGTATGGGTACGTATAAAGTTTGAGATTAAAATATTGAAAAACGGAGTTCAATGGGGTCTGTAGAATATTACCGTCTATTAATAAAAATAAATTATCAAGTTATCATTATTCCCGTAGAGCGTATTTTTGTGGACAAACAACAAACGTTCTGCAGTGGTGAAGGTAAAATTCTATTGTTTTGGTGGTGGCGGTAAATTGTGTAAACGGCTTCATTTCACCACTTTCCGAGCCACTATCGCAGTGTGTGGGGGACGGATCTTGGATAATGAAATAAAATTACAAAATGTACTTGTAGGTATTTACAGTCATAATTTATTTATAACCAACAACCAACAACAAAATATAATTTTACAAATAATATTGAAACACATAATTTTAACAAGATAGTTGCATCCGAAATCCGCGACTATAATAAACATTTTCATAACATTATTGATCTCCCAAATTTATTTAAATTTAAAACTTTTGATAGAAAAAAGTGGAAACCCCGACTTAGGTATAATCGTTTAAAACATAGGCGAACCAAACCCGCGAATATAGATAATTAGATCAAGATCAAAAGCCCTCACCACTACGGTGACTGAAGAATGAAAAAAAGGTTTTAATTTGGCCGGAAATCACAGAAGATAGGAGCATTGGGAACAACTCAATGTACAAAAGAATCGAAATAAAGTTCAATGGTATCGTCAGAAACGTTTTACACAGAATACCTAAGCCACCCTGTTATTTCACATACATATTATAGTCTAATGATAAAGATATAGATATTCTGAATAATATATATTATATGATTCAAAATTATCTAAACTCAATGGAAATTTTATTAAAATAAATATTCAAGACAGCGTCTAATTTCGTAACTTATACTAACTCGTAACACTATACATTTGATTTGATGATCTTTAATCGGGTACATTTTTATTGAAACATTTTTGACAAATGTTTAATAATTACAAATATTACAACAATACTTCAAATATTATTATGTAGGTACTTATATAGTTAATATTTTGTCTTAAGAGTATTTAATACAATATCTACTATTTTTAGAAAAATTAGAATATTATTAAGTAATATAAAAGACGTTTTCAACAAAGTTTAATATTATATTCGTTTTTGGTATGACTTTTATTTTTTTGACATTTTTTCGGAATATCGGAAGATAATTTATCGTCAATTTTTTGTTTGTAGGACACTTTTTACGGTCACCTAGAAAGAATTAAAATCGCGGACAGTCTGTACTATTTTAGGTAATAATAACAGTCAATAAGGTTGACAGTTTGTACTGTTTGAGGTAGAAAAAAATTTATACATATCACATACACAATACACATGCAGTTAACAGACGTAAATAATAATAATAAAAATAGTTTTGATATAAAATTCGTCAAAATGTAAAAAATATCCTATATTATGTTTGGCAAGAAAATTAAATCAATGAATTGTAATAATTATTACTTGATATTGGCCCAGCAGTCAGTGCAAAAAAACTAAAAATAAAATTGTAACTGAATAATTTGAGATTATAAATTGAATTCTATTCGGTAGGGATATTTATCTTTTTTATTTATAACATTAAATAGAAATTTAAATTATAAAAAAAATAATAAATACTTACTCGTGGTTTGTATACGAATACACTTAAAACAATATATTCACCAATGTGCAACAATATTAAACGACAATATAAAATATTAAATAAATATAAAATTTGTTATTTTATAAATAATTGCAAACAGTAAAAATTTCACGACAGTTAAAATAATATTAGAATATACAATATATTTCATGTACATACCATTAACCACGAGGTCGATAAACAACAGCAGATAAAAAAAATTCCAAAACTGTAGCGGAATACAACGTTGCTTTCAATGGACAATGAGTAATTGAGTAACGCGAGAGTAACGATATTCAGCTTTAGCACGTTGTACACACCACACACGTCAAACAAGGTAGACATAGAGTCACATAACACATTACAGTACACGACGACAGCAATAAACTTGTGTACCGAGTGAACAGGCTAGTAGAGTAAAACTGCAGTAAGCACTAGGCAGATTGAAGAACGTGAAATATGAGAATGATGTACATACTGATTGTATTACGATTTACGAGTGTACAATACACAAATACATCGGTAATGTTTTTCTGTTAGTTGTTAGTGACTAGCGATTACCGTCAAGACGGACAATGGACGAAATCTAATTGATAACAATAAATGGACAAACGATATTCCAGAACCGATTTGTTCTATTAATAAATACGTATACACATGTTTTCGAGAAATATTCCCAACATCGATGTTACTTCTTATTGAGCTCTAAATAGAAAATAATATCATCGATATTGACAATGTCATGCCGGTTGTTTCATGTTTGGACTATAAGCAGGGTGGTAAGGCCGTGAGTTATTATACACGTCTTGTAAATTATAAGTTATAACAATACAATTTTGTTGGGTCTAGTGAAGCCAAAAAAAGTAAAATAAATATTTTGTACCCTTATCACAGGCCACAGTTTGTCAGATACATTCTAATATCATTCTTATTACTATAATAGTTCCACTTATAAATTTATAAAATAATCAATGATATTAGCACAGAATAGATTAAATTTATTCTATTAGATTTAATCTATTCTGTGATATTAGGTTCTAGTAAATCGTAATTAAATCCTATATGCAGAAGCCCGGATTAAGATAATTTTGGACCTGGGGGCATTTTAGGGGCTCATAAACATGCTAATATTATTTAATTTAATTACTTTATGAGGCCTAGACGAAAACTATTTGAAGATTCTAATGAAACCGCGATATCTTTGATGGTATGTTTCATAATTCCTCTAGCAGATTCTTGTTCATTATTATAACTTTTATTCTCAATCCCCGAGAGTGTTGTATCGTCACTATTACAATATAACTCTACTATAGAGTTTTCAATGTCCTTGTTCAAAGAAACTCTGGAAGATATTAAAAATATAATTTTAATACAAGTTAATTTCAATATCAAAACTTATCAACTAACTAAATAGAACAAACATACATAATACATATATTCTCAGCACGGAAAAACAATAAATTATCTTATAAATCTGTTCCAAAAGAGAATATTTTAGTTATGAGCCCTAATTATTTCCTTCCAGCTCAGCATATTCTGTTTTGGAACAGAGAATAAGATTTATTTTAGCAGGAATTTGTCTATGAAACCATTTTTTCAGATGTGGCTATAATTAACTTAATTATATTATGTATGTCATTTTATAGTATAGGATTGGTTGCTGGTGAACAACCTAAGAAATGTAAATAAAAATTTAGTGTGTGAAATTGATCATATAACAAGTTTCTATGAGCAACCTAAGTACTGTAAAGAAAAATTAACATGTAATCAACCCAAAACATATCTATGTAAAAAAAACATAAAAATATAAACAAATGTTACAATTAATGTAACAATAAACTTCTAACTTCTTAATATTTGACTTACAAACTGTCATTGTTTTCCATTGAGTGGACTGTGGTATTATTTCTTAAGCTATTATTCATCTCATAAGCATCCAAAGAGTGAATAGTATGGACAGAAACATCCCGACAGCTAAATAATATAGATTAAAAAATTAAATATAAACAATTTAGGAAATATATTTCATGTTTCATAAGTATTAAATTATGATAAAGGATAAACTATAAAAGGAATTAAAAAAAAAAAAACATTTTCATATAGGTATCTAAAATTATCCAATAGCATAAAATATCCACATTGATACACAACTACATATGAAGAATTTAATGAATTAACTTTTTCTCCATTATTTTTATTCATGATAACAATATAATATTTTGTATAAATGTTTATGTTTATTGGTTTAATATTTGAAACTCTTTACACTTCAAAAACTACATTTTAAAAAGCTATTTTCTTAGTACAGATGTTCTTACATTTTTTATGGTACAACCCATTATTAAAAATGATTTAATTTTGGCAACCCACTATATACTAATGACCGTTTTTGTTTGTTTCATTGATGATCATTGATTCACATCAAGTGAATGATATTTATATTCTTAATGAATTTGAACGTTTTTAAATATGCAGAAATATTATTAAATTATATATTATATAATATATAATAACATTTTTCTATTATAATATTCCTATTATATTTGTTTCATTAAGAATTTTAAAAATAAAATATGTGCAATCCCAGTGAGCAAGGCTCAACATATAGCAACAATAATATTATGATTTTTACAACTTTGTATTAGTATTTAAACAATTCATAAAAATCAAATAAAAAAGTGTTCCAAGCACTAAAATAGTGCATCATATTTATTTGAAATAGTATTTATACATAAAATATCTTTTCATTTATATAATATAATATATCTATCTATTTTATAAAATATATTGAATATTATGTAAAATGAATCTCCCTTTTTTTCCGCACTCATAATCTTGAAAACTAAACGTCCTATACACTTGAAATTCAATATGGATATTTAGCTAGATCTGGGGAAGACCAGTATCTATATGAGAACCACCCAATATACCTTCAGGGATCAGCATGTAACGAGACATGTTCAAATCTCTAGAATTTATACATAATTTATATCTTAAACCAATAAATAAATATTACAAAACTTAACTCAACCCACCAAAATAATAATTGCAACCAATAGTTTGGGAATCGTAGCCGTAAGGCTAACAAATATTCAATAATAAATACATACAACTAGAAATATTTTTAGTAAACAACAAATTATGAATATCAATAACAAAATGAATAATAATAAATAAGTAAGTTCTAAAATGTATATAATTACTTTTCAGTTCCAAAATAAAATGTATTGGATATAAATTCATCACCAGTAACTGAACTTGGAGACTTTCTGAAAAACAAAAAATATAAAAATATGAAATATGAAATGTTGAAAATATAAAAATAACTTTTCATTAATTGGAACTTCAAAATTATCTACTGCTGTATCGTCCACACTACAACAACAATTAGGTGATAAACTGTTATAATTTACATTATCAGTTACTTCCACTGGCATTACAGATACTTCATCATTAGCAAAATGTCTACAAAATCAGAATGCATAAAATATTTTAAAGAAGTTTTTTTCATTTAAGAAGAAGAGATCTTCATCTTAAAAAAAAATAAAGATTCCATCAATCATTTAATTCTTGAATGTAAACTTTATTTCAGAAGAATCAGGTTTTATAGAATACATAATTTGAATGTTAAAAATAATTGTTCTCGCCTTTCGGTCGAATTGTCAATTTCTTTATTATTTAATATTGTTATATCAACTCTATAATTCATAGATATAGTAGGTTTGTCTGTTTGATCTAATCTACTAAAATTACTAACTCATAATTCCTTATATTAGTTACAAATTAATTATTCTTACCTTATTCCTTCATTAAAAATACTAAAATTTTCATCAGACACATGCGTAGCTACAACCAACAAATCATCTTGAATTTTCCTCTTTTTAGAGATACTAGCATAAGAATATTTATGTATTAGAAAAAAACTAACATAATATTGAAAATTAAATTAATACTTTTCATTAACATAATCTTCACAAGTTTGGGACACAGTTGTTTTGTCTTTATAATCTGTTACTATTCCTAACTCTTCGTCCTCGTTGCTTAACAGTTTTGTAAGCATTTCCTCTTCTTCGATGGTTAGTATTTTTAAAGTACTGCAATAGTTTGGATATTTCAAATAATCAATATAAAGTGCAAGACATGAATATGATTTCTTCTTACCCTTTATTCTTTTGTTCTAGATTCGATTTACATGTGACATTTTCATTTTCTGACATCATTTCTTCATTTACATATTCATTGATATCCAACAAATCTTTTAGATTAAAATTATTCTCACAATCAATACTAAGGATATATAATACACAACTTTGAAATTAACTACCATCAAATAAAATAAAATATTATATCATACATTTTTGGACGGACAGCTTTTAGAATATTGACATCACGCAAATCATCTACTGTGCTTGATGATTCAAAAATATTTTCTTCTTGATTGTTCAGCGTTTTACATACAGTCTCTTGATTTTCTATGTTTATAGTTGACTCACATGATTTTCTATCTTGGACAACCATTTTTCCCAAATCCCTAAAAATCAAATTAAAATACTTAGTATTTAAACCTAATAATTTATAGTTATAAAGTATTGTTACGTTTCATGTATGCTGTCTCCTGAATATTGAGTTTTCTGTTCACTATCTTTTTGTATCACAGAATTTACGTTGTCAAATGGCCTAAAAAATATTTTATTTTTTTATTTTATGTAAATTGTGAGAGTAGCAAATATTTATACACTACGTATTATTGCAACAATTAAAAATAATCTGTTCTTACGTTGTACAATTTATGCCCTCGTTAGTTACACTTTTACAATTCTCATGATCCACAATAACATAGGCGCAACTAGGGGGGTGCTTGGGGGTGCTGAAGCACCAAACTTTAATTTAGCACCCCCAGTTCAAAAACAGCAAAAATTGAAAAATCATATGAAAAAAATAGTTTTTTTTAGCTTAACTTAATGTTTTTTTTTTATTTCTTCGTTTTTAGCAGAAACACAACTTATTGTTTGTAATGATTATAGGTACCTATATCAAATATTAGAATTTAGAATTCTTCAAATTTTTTTGGAAATTTTCTGTTAGAAATTTATAAAAGTTTTTCCTTTCATAGCTAACATTATAAATGTTGATAGAAGACTCCTCACAATTGGTACTATCTTAAATAAAAAAAAAGTTTACTGGAAAGTAACATACATTTTTGATGAGCGTTTGAATCTAAAATGTGTACAACATTGAACTTTCAATTTTTATCAGTAAATTAACGAAATTTCATCTACCAATTTTTGATATTATATTGTCCTAGTATATCCTTGAAATTTTTATCAAATGTTAAAATTAAAATTTTCCTTACTCTTACATGGTAAAATGTTTAAACAATTTTGACTCTTTTTGAGGTATTTATAACTGAGACATTTTTCAAATATTTTTAATTATTTTTCATTGGCGATTCATAAAATATTTTCTTTTCACAGTTAAGGTCCAAGATTAAAAATGTTAATAAAAGATTTCACATAAGTTTGTCTACCTATAAAAAAACGTATACTTAAACTTGAATTTTTTATGAGTGTTCGAACTTATAATTGTCACGATATTCGATATTCAGCGGTAAATCGAATTCGTTTTTTTTGGATTTGGTTGTATTTCCAAAATGAATAACCGTAGACTCTTGAAATGTTCACCAAATATTTATATTAGCATTTTCCATACATCGAAAATTCTTTAAACACTTGAATTTTTATGAACTGTTTATGAGAAAATTTTTCAAATTGAATTCAAATATAACACATCCACTACAACGACATTCTCAACAACTATTGTACAGAAAAGCGGTACCCACTTGACCACATTTTTTTTATCCATTTATACATCCAGGTTACTATTTTTATCACCTAAATAATATAATATACCTCATTCATCAGTATTTATCATCATAAAATTTCAGTATTCATCAGGTATATTACTGTTGATTTACTTAAATATTAGTGTCCTTATGTGTTCATGGTGCATTTAGGAATGGTTATAGTAATTATAAAATCAAAGTATGACGTATGTTATTTTGGGGTGTGGGGGCGTGGCCCCCGCGGGTTTGTGTTCTCTACATAATTTTAGCACCCCCAGTGTTTGGCCTCTAGTTGCACCTATGCACAATAATTTCATCAATATCACATTTAGTCAGATCCAAAACATTATTTTGATCCATACTATAACAAGAAGTAAATAAAAATTGTATGTGAACATTAATATTTAATTGTAATGTTACCTATTATCAAGATTATCATCACACATTTCAGGCCCAAGAATCTCACCAACATTCAGATATACATCGCTTTTGTTCATGCTACTTTCGGAAACATTGCTTTGTGACATGCTGTTGATTAAATATTCAATATTCAATTTTAACATAGTACTCAGTTTAAGATTTTACAAGATCTATTCCTACCTTTGATCCTCGGTAGAAAAACTTATTTTATTATTACCCAACATTAATTCATTAAACACATGTTCTACTGAGGTATTAAATTTATCTGCTTGGTCTGGAAAACATACTGAATCACTACTAAAAAAAAATTAGAAGGAATGATATAAATATTTTAATTTAAATTATATTTATAATTATCCAAATAAAAAATTGAACCCTAAATAATACTGAACAATTAAAATTAATTAAATTACATTTATGATCTTCACAGAACTTTTAATTTCAATCACTAATAGTAATCACGGGAATATCATGCATTTGCATATTATTTAGAAATCTACTTATTATTCAAAATCGGGATGATACCATAAATTTGTTTCAGAATACATAAAACCTAAGATTATTAAAATATTTGAATATTTTGTTATTATAAATTTAGGAGATCTGTATAATAAATCAACAAAGAAAATCATCTAACTTAAAAATAATGAACCTTCACATACCACATGAGTACATATATATTTTGAATCATGCTACTTTTACTAATTATTTTTGATGGAGTATTTAAACTATATATATTTCAAGTTAAATAAAAGAATAAGATATTTTGTTTCAATGGTAATAAATAATAATAAATATAATGCGAGTTCAAAGATATGTTTACAAAGCTTTTGAACCAGCCAATAATTAATATCACTGTAAACGAGTTAACGACTGTAGAACAGCTACTCGAAGCCCCGTCAAAAAATGAATTAGAAACAGGATTAAATATGCTTAAGAATGGTAAAGCACCAGGTGTAGATGAAATAGTATCAGAATGTTTAAAAAAGGGTGGACCATGCTTAATTAACCAACTTCATAAATGAATAAACATAATATGGGAACAAGAGGAAATACCCGAATCGAGAGTATCTGTCCTATGTCCTGTTTTTAAAAAAGGAGATATCATGGAGTGCAAAAATTATAGGGGATCTCCTTACTCAACACAACTTATAAGATTCTATCTAACATTCTTCTGATCGATCAGAATCAATCCATATATTTAAGAAATAATAGGAGAATACCAAGCTGGGTTCATGATAGGGAGATCAACAGTTGATCAAATCCATATCATCAAACAATTAGCTGAGAAGAGTCACGAGTTCAATAAGACATACACCTTATGTTCATAGATTACAAAGCAGCATACGATTCGATTAATAGGGAAAAACTATGGAATGTCATGAACAAAATGGGAATACCAGCAAAATTAGTCAGAATGATAAGAGTGTGTGCATAATATGAGTCCAAAAGTAAAGTAAGTTTTGGAGGAGAGGTATCAGATGAGTTCCCAGTGTCGACCGGGAGACGCTTTATCGCCAGCTTTGTTCAATATCGCATTAGAATCAGTTATACGAAAGGTACTAATCCAAGCCAAAGGAATAAAAATGAACAATAATGAACTAACCATAGTGGCTTACGCTGAAGATATAGTTCTCATTGCCGAATCAGAGGACGATCTGAGGAGTACAACTAGCATTCTACTAAATGATGGTAAAGAGATTGATTTGAAGATAAATGAGTCAAAAACAAAATGTATGATACTATCGAGAAGAAATCACAATATAAGCCATTTAAAAGTTGATGATTACAAATTTGAAAGGGTACAGAGCTTCAAATATCTGGGCGCAGAGATCAATGAAAATGCTAATAGCCACGAAGAAGTTAAAAAAACGAATTACAGCAGGAAATAGATGTTACTATAGTCTAATGCCACTCTTCAAATCAAGATTACTATCAATAAAGTCTAAAATAACGTTATACAAAGTCATAGTCAAACCGGTTGCCCTGTATGCATGTAGTACATGGGCCACGACAAAATTGGACGAAGGAAAGTTAGGAATTTTCGAAAGAAAGATATTAAGGAAAATCTTCGGTCCAAAGAGAAATAACGATGGAGAGTATGAGGTGAGAGGCAACAGGGAATTAGATGATCTCTACAAGGAACCTACAATTGTTGGGTCCCTGAAGAGTACGAGGATAAGTTGGGTGGGACATGTATGGAGATCAGAGGGAATGATTGGATCAATAACTAAATGGAAACCCGACACTAAGAGGCCTCGAGGGCGCCCCAGACAAAAATGGGTGGATAGAGTAAAGGAAGACTTGAAACTCCTGAACGTAAGAAACACAGAAGAATATGTAAATGATAGAGAAGAATGGAAACAATATGTTGTTGTGGCGATGGGCCTTAAAGGCCTGTAAAAGCCCAGAAGAAAAAGAAGAAATATAATGCTTATTAATGTAAATTATTGAGCATTTTGTTAAAGTTATTCCTTATTACTAAATAAATGCATATTTTTGGTAAAAATAAAATTGCATATTATAATGAAATAATATTTGAGATATTTTAGAAATTATATTATTGTGTGCATATATTTCATTGTTAGCACATAGTTTTTAATCCCAGTTATTCACTTTATAAATCTTTATTAAAAATGTATCGTGATTTATGGATATTTCTGAAATATTTTGTCTACATTATCATAAGTTTATTCATTTTTATTCATCTATACTGTCTAATTGATCAAATGTTTCATTTTTACTAAAGTTTATGTTGTCAGTATAACCATAAAAAGAGACATATAATTTTAAACAGAAATTATATGAAAAAAAAATTATATATTCTTCCTTTATAGGTACTTATTTTTTTATCTAATATCTGTTATTGATACGGAACTTGCCCAAAATTCAAATATGTTAATTACTTTTTATCTAATACTTTTTTTATTAAAATCTTTTTAAAAAAAATCAAGTAACAGTATTTTTAAACGTTTCTAAATTTCAATTCATTTTGTATGTGATCATTTTATTTTAATTAACATAACTATGGTCTATGATATAGTTCTATACTCTATCCAGAGAAATAATACACTATGGGGTCCAACAAAAATCTATTCGATCTGCATATGCTTGCAAAACCCAACATAGAACATAGAACTTTCACTAAGACATTTCCATGAACAGTGGCGGATCTAAAATTTTTTTTGGGTAGGGGAGCCGCCCATTGTCTTTTTCTAAGTTTAAGGACACAAATATTTAAAAACAGCCAAATTTATTGACTTTAATGCTGGCCGATTGGGGGGGGGGGGGGGGCAGGGCTCCTCTGCCTGCCCTTAAATCCGCCACTGTTAATGAATATAATAATAGACAATTATATGCAAGTGCTAATCAACATAGTCATGGCTAAGAAATCAGAAATTTAAATTTTTATTAATTTAATATTACAATATGACCCAGAAATGGTGTCTCCATGACTAAAAGTAGAGTATGACCAAACTCTGTAGTCTGTACTGATATATTTTGGTGACTATTTGCAACATCTCACTTAGCTGAATACAAGTAATTAAATATTTTGGTCATTAAAATATGTAAAAATTTGGATACACAAAATTGTTAATTGAATTCAGTTTCTTTTTTTATCAATTTCGTAAGATAACTCTAATAACATTTCCACTTTTTCATTAGTAAGAATTTTAGAATCTCTGCAAAAATTTGTAATTTATATTAAGGACCAATAATAATTAGTAACAAAATAAAAAATTACCTTTCAGAATCATCAACATCTTTTTGAAAAATTATATTTTTATCTAATTTAACTTTTTTACTGACATGTTTTGTTGTTGGGTTAATTTTGTTGGTGGACCTTTAAGAATTAATTCAACATTGATAATAATCTTAATTGTATCTTTTACAATGTAAGTTACCTTTCAAACATTTTTTAATTATTATTTTTATTATTAAGTTGATATGAATGCATATTATCATTATTTTACAATTTACAACTTTTGAGCTTAGAATATATATTTTATATTTTTTCCTTTAAGCCTTGAAATTTAAAGCAATAAAAATAAACTATAATATGTAATTTAAATATTTAGAATAGTAACAATTATTTATTACTTTTTTTTAGGTATATTACATTTTATACTTAAATTACCATATAAAAAGAATTAAATAATTTATGAATTCGAATTAATCTTGAAAACAAATCAGTTAACACAGAAACAGGTTAATTTTCTATCTGTTTACTTTTTTCTACATTAACTTAATTTTATAACTACAAAATATATATTTTATATACAACTTAGCAGAAACCATACTAAAAATCTTAGAAGTATGCACTATTAGATTTTTTATTTGGAATCATTGTTACATAAAATAATTTTTGTTTAGCTTTTTTACTATGAGTAAATATATTCTATAATACCTAATACTATAAATCTATGCCCTGTTTATGAATAAAGCAAAATAAAATGTTTACATTAGATAAATTATTAATATAATTACCCAATACTGTTTTCATCCGAGTTACAAAAGTTTGTGCTAATTATATCATTATCGTATTTAATTATTTTGTTGGGTGGCTGATATATAAGTTCATCGTCACAGCTAATATCATTCCTAGAATTATGGTAAAAAAAAATAATTTTATACTTTAATTTATTAAAATTGCAAATTTTATTATTAATGTTATGTATTTTAGGCCAAAAATTAATTTCTGGTTCATTCACAAAGTTAAATATATTCACATAACTATAAAATATATTATGTTTTAACTGTAATTATTGAAATATTTTTCAAATAACGTTTATGGTTATATTTAATTTAAAATAAAAATATAAATTAAATTACACTTTAATATTTTTATTGACATTCTGACATTTTGAAATATTTTCAATGTGTTCAATCTGCCGAGTTAGTTTTTGGATCACATCACTTAAGGATTGTTCAGAGGTTCTACAAATTAAATAATATGAAAATTACCACACAGATATTTTAAAATTAATAGTAAGGAGACAATATGGAAGCATAAGACTAACCTTTCGCATAGAGCATTTGACTTGTAAAGAGATCTTTTATTTGTAGATGTTTCACAATCAGTTTGATCCTTTATTTTCATAGATTAAATAAATAAATAATGATTATTAACAAAAAAAAAAATAAATACTTTTTAAATTCTTACAAAAAATCAATTAACGGAAAGTAAGCAAGTTCTTTTTTTTGTAAAATGTTATTTAAATTACTGATTATAATATAGTATAATATACTGTGATTCAGTTAAATATTTGAGAAGTGTTAAATATATAGTAAATGAGTTAGGTATGAAATCTGCATAATATGTGTAATTAAGAGCAAATGTTAAAATTACCGTCATTACCCAACTCATATTAGACATAATATTATACTACCTATTATAGTATTCACATAATCAATTAAAATTAATACATACTTCATACTTTGAACAGGAAGGTATAACCATCTCATTGGGAATTTTATCCGCCATCATAAATTAAATACTATTATAAATATTGATAAATTTGTGAGTTTAACATTATAATATCTGTGCAAATATAATACGTAGACTTGAAACCTAAAAAGAAAAATAACAATTTTATAACTCAGATAATACTAAACAATTAACAATAAATTATAATATATAAGGCAATTCACCAAGCATGCTTGCCATCATATTTTTATCTTTCAATAAAGAATTTATTCAGGATAATTGCAATTTTTAAGTACATTAAAATTTTTTATACCATATTTAAGGAGTACCAGGAAGTGCCCTGAGTGATCCCCAACTTCTTTCTTTCAAATGAGAATCATCATTTTTACCAGTAAATTTATATGCAGATAACTTAAAATATTTCATATAAGTATATAAAAGGAAATTTGAACAAGTAATTTTTAAGGTATATAACTTGTGCAATAAGAATTTTATCACACAGAAGTTATATTCTATAACTGTATACCTTGTTCATATTTTTGAATTTGTATTTCAAGACATGCAAGTAATTTACTGGACCATCAATTTTTCTGACTTACAATTTGTTTTACTCGTGTATTCTTCACATGCAACAACAACATTATTTTTTTTTTAATTATTATCATATTTTAATATTTATTTTATTCTATACATTTTAGTCATTTTATCATCATGTATTATAAATCCAAAACTTATTGGATGCGAGCCATTTCAAATTCAAAAAATGAATTTTTATTTATGTAGGTACCTATTGATTAGTTCTGAATACCATGAGAATTACAATCAGAATTCATCAATTTTACTTATTATAGTTATTATAAAGGAAGTTATTTGTTAATTATTTCATTAAACTAGCAATACAAAAACAACAAAATTTAATTAAATTTTGTTCATATAGAGGAGGTGTGAGCAAACTAGAGTTTGTCGCACATCTTATATACCTATAGTAATAGGTACACGTCAAAACATCAGTCGATTTAAACATTTAAAGGTCATATACAATTACACAACAGTGGAAGTAAATTTATGATAAATTAAAATTGACCAATTTGATAAAAGTATTATATATTGTCAATCTATAAAAATTAAACCGCCAGGCTCTGTGCTTCCAATAACACTATGTACTGGGGCTGAACTTGAATTGTATCGTTAACAAACAAACTAAACAATTGAACGATTGAACGATTCACTAAAAAGTAAGTCATGGGGTTTGAACCCCCCCCCCTCCCATCGGCCATATTTTTTTTCACTTTCATATGAGAATTACTTTTTTCTTATGTTATTCGGTAACTTACGAGTTAATTAATTTTATTGCCACGTTAAGTTAATTTTTTTTTTTCAATTTTGTAAAAATTAATTTTATAAAAAGAGAATCCGAAATATTAAATATATTAATTAGTAAATAATAATTATTATGTTGCATATTCACATAAAATATTATATAACTATATTATAGACTGAAATGTTATAAGGGTTACTGTTAATATTACCTTCTTACAATATTGTATCGTACCTATATTGTTTGAAATTTTAAATAAAAATATGGATAACTATTAACTATTAACTTAGCTAATAGTAATAGTGACACATCTCATTCAAAATGGAGTCATTTAAATAAATGTTTTAAAGAAACGTGGCAAGCTGCGAAAACAGGTAAAGCCGCGGTAAAGAGAATAGATGGAGATCATGGACTGAAACTTGAAAGTATTGTGTTTTGAAATGTTTGGTAAATTATTATGGTTTTATAATGATTATTAAAGTATGAATGTTGAAAAAGCTTAGTTTTTGGTTGCATTATTTTACTTTTGGTATTCATATGATATACCAAATACAACTCACTAGGTACTGTCTACTAAAATGGTAAAATAACACAACATTTGTAAATATTATGAGTATGGGAATTCAAGTAAATTTTCAGAACCCCACCATAGAAAATTCCTGAGAACGCCACTGACCCAGGGGTAGGGTGGTTCTAGGGTCACAAACTAATGAACAGGTTCATGATGTTTATATGATATTTTATTTATTATATTATATTTATAATTATATTTAAACATATTACAGAATTGTAAGTAAAAAAATGAACTTTGAAGTAATAATTAGTAACCTGAGAACCGAATGTCCTACAACTAATGAAAATATGCCGGGGACCAAACGTCCTATGACTAATAAGTAATAACTCTCCGGGACGAAATGTCCTATCTCAATAACTCTCCGGGACGAAATGTCCTATCTCAATAATTGCCGGGGACGAAACGTCCCCGTGCACTGGTTTTTTCGACGGGGGGTGAAACGTCCGTGATTCCTGTGATATACCTCCACGCAGCCTGATGATAACAATTCGGGCCTAAATACAAGCCGTGGACCCACCCAAATGTGGATCACACTGAAGACGATAATATGGAACTAATGAACTATGGAAGGAACCTTACCGCATTTGGAGTTAAAATCCAATAAAGGATGTCCTCCGTCAACAAAAGTACATTCTGAGCGAGAAGGAAGAGGAAAAGTCACGAACACGCTCGTAAAGGAGCGCGTAAACTGGACTAGAGACGGTTAGTGGCAGTGGCGGGGCTTTGAACACCGGTCGTCTTAAGACAATGGAATAAGGGCGGGCGGTATTCAAATTAAAATATTTGACTTTGTCCTCGACTTGCAACTTAGGACTTGATATTAAAATGTTTGTTGAAGATATTACATGTTTACGTCTGTAAGTGTATTGTCTATGCGGTCGTACATAAAATGGCAAAATATTGAATTTATATCTGAATCGTACGCGTAATAAAATATCAGTAACAAAAACTATAAATAAATATAAAACTCGGTTCAATATTTAAAATAATTCAATATTAGTGTATTAAATTATACACCTACTGAAAATACAAGACTATTTATAATATTTTACTCGTAGCAGTCGTAGGGATTTTGATACCGTTTTTCAAATTTTCCGTAATTCTTTAAAATTTTTAAATTCTATTTTATATAGAATGTCCCATAAAGTGCGCACTTTATGGGACACCCTATATTTAATTGCCACCTTAGTCACCTATAACACTTTTCCACTGATCTACCTATCACTACGGTGTATTATATCGACAAAAAATGCCTTCACTGGAATAATTCTCAGGCCTTGTAGAATTGTCAGATTTTGATGACTTCCTATGAGCCGCATTGAACTCCGATGTTTTATTTCATTTCAAATAATGGAATAAAATATAATATAAAATATAATTTGTAAAAAAACCCTCAAAATTGTATTATTTTGGAGGACGTATGGGTACGTATAAAGTTTGAGATTAAAATATTGAAAAACGGAGTTCAATGGGGTCTGTAGAATATTACCGTCTATTAATAAAAATAAATTATCAAGTTATCATTATTCCCGTAGAGCGTATTTTTGTGGACAAACAACAAACGTTCTGCAGTGGTGAAGGTAAAATTCTATTGTTTTGGTGGTGGCGGTAAATTGTGTAAACGGCTTCATTTCACCACTTTCCGAGCCACTATCGCAGTGTGTGGGGGACGGATCTTGGATAATGAAATAAAATTACAAAATGTACTTGTAGGTATTTACAGTCATAATTTATTTATAACCAACAACCAACAACAAAATATAATTTTACAAATAATATTGAAACACATAATTTTAACAAGATAGTTGCATCCGAAATCCGCGACTATAATAAACATTTTCATAACATTATTGATCTCCCAAATTTATTTAAATTTAAAACTTTTGATAGAAAAAAGTGGAAACCCCGACTTAGGTATAATCGTTTAAAACATAGGCGAACCAAACCCGCGAATATAGATAATTAGATCAAGATCAAAAGCCCTCACCACTACGGTGACTGAAGAATGAAAAAAAGGTTTTAATTTGGCCGGAAATCACAGAAGATAGGAGCATTGGGAACAACTCAATGTACAAAAGAATCGAAATAAAGTTCAATGGTATCGTCAGAAACGTTTTACACAGAATACCTAAGCCACCCTGTTATTTCACATACATATTATAGTCTAATGATAAAGATATAGATATTCTGAATAATATATATTATATGATTCAAAATTATCTAAACTCAATGGAAATTTTATTAAAATAAATATTCAAGACAGCGTCTAATTTCGTAACTTATACTAACTCGTAACACTATACATTTGATTTGATGATCTTTAATCGGGTACATTTTTATTGAAACATTTTTGACAAATGTTTAATAATTACAAATATTACAACAATACTTCAAATATTATTATGTAGGTACTTATATAGTTAATATTTTGTCTTAAGAGTATTTAATACAATATCTACTATTTTTAGAAAAATTAGAATATTATTAAGTAATATAAAAGACGTTTTCAACAAAGTTTAATATTATATTCGTTTTTGGTATGACTTTTATTTTTTTGACATTTTTTCGGAATATCGGAAGATAATTTATCGTCAATTTTTTGTTTGTAGGACACTTTTTACGGTCACCTAGAAAGAATTAAAATCGCGGACAGTCTGTACTATTTTAGGTAATAATAACAGTCAATAAGGTTGACAGTTTGTACTGTTTGAGGTAGAAAAAAATTTATACATATCACATACACAATACACATGCAGTTAACAGACGTAAATAATAATAATA